CTTTCGACTCCATTTTTATGTATCAAGTGCAGCTACATTGTTTACACATGTCTTGTAAATAGGCCACTGTTTGCTCGGTCTTATTCGATCGAATGTTGTTGACATGTTGCATCGGGTTGCGGTTGAGGGCTTCCGATGATTGAACAAGTTATGCTCTTCCTTATTCGTGTGAGCTCAAAAACCTCCCAAGCCAATACACAAGGTGATCCAATGTCGGGTATTGGTAAACCATGTGCACATTATAGCCGAGATATTGGACCTAAACATTTACTGGTGATCCAATCCTTCACGCATATTCACGTTCCACACTGCCGCGTCAAGCCGTTGAGACATGTGTGTATCATAACATCAAACTTGAAGCCGCGTTGCAACAACAAGAATTGAGTACAAAAGGTTAGGACCCAATCGCACCGTTTATCGATACGGAATCGCTAGTCAATCTCTGTCTTGTATCATTTACCCGAAGGCAGGTAATCTGCCAAGAACACCCATCTTGAACATCTGTATATTATAATGTCGGTGCTAGCGAAGGTGATCATGCGTCAATGTAGCACTCGCTTCATACACCCACAAAGTCGTTGCTCATACCTGAAACACCGCCAAACTGTAACGGGGCACCGGAGCAACACACTAAATAATGTGTGTGGAGCTACTCTCACTGACAGCAGTGTGAGTACTGCTTCGCTACCTCTGTTGACTCGGTAGAGGAAGGGAAAGCAACAAGAAACTGACAAGTTGCTGGTAGAAGTAAACCTGCATTAAATTTAATTAAGTCCTGCTCATAAATCGATGTTTAAGTCCCAACTTAATGATATCTATCTGCAAAAATGTATGCTAAAGCCTTGCTCACCACTCATTGCGCGCGTCCATCGTTGATTGGACGACTAGAGCTGGCTGATATGATGATTCAAATCAGCCAATCGGTGAGTGTTTCTGAACATTACCCGTTATGGTTTTATTCACGAGCATTATCAACCTTTATAGTAGTATTTTAATTGACAAGTGTCAAGGGTTAATTACATTTAACAGGTTTACCCCGTTGCACAAATTTACCAAAAATGGAAGTAGTCCGGGTAAAGCCCTGTGCTAGTTCCTTACAATGTGTCGATCTACTCCAAGGTAAATAGTACGTTATTATGTACAAAACCGCCACCACAAAAAGATTGAAGGCATGTCAATATATCTCAGTTATCTTCAATGTTGTAAAACATACTTTTGTTGGACTGATAGCCCTTTCGTGACAATGCGAAATCATTGGTAACATCGTGGCTGTCAGGTGTAAGATTTTTTTGTTTCTTGCAAAACACACATTTTAGGCTACAAACAGGATTACCAGTTTATCTCATTGCGAGCCCAAAGGATGACGCTACTATCGACTGTGCGCAGGGTGAATGCCGAAATTTAACATCTACTTGTTGTATGTGTGTGTAAAAATGGGGGAGCGAGCTCCAGATCTCGTATTTTGATCTATTTACTCCTTTTTTGGAGAGCTGAATTAAGACGTAAAACACTATACAATAGCAGTCACGTCTGTATTACATTCGTACAGTTTACTTGGGCAAGGTGATCAGCCTTTGCAATGAGCGTCCAGCATTTGCTTGTGTGGTCATATTCACCGTTGATCTTTATTCAGCCAGTCACAAGCGTGCGCCAGTATAGTGACCAAGTCCAAAAAGTGAATTCGGATATGCCTACATACCTGTGAGGAGAGACAGGCTAGATCGCACCTGGTACGACGTGTATGGTACACCTAGCGTTTTTACATACACACAGACAAACCGGTACACAGGCAGACAGATAGACAGACCGATAGAAAAGTACAATTTAAAAAGTTTGGCATTTACTTGCCTTGCGCATAGTCACTAATAGCTTTACCCGTCGGGCTCGCAATAAAGTACACACCTCAACCCATTGACTTGCCGCCAAACCCCCACAATTGGTACGAGAATATACAGAATTTGATTCAGTTCTTTTGACTGAATTACCTATATCAACGGGCGAGCTCAATGGCTTTTCCATCATCTTATCTCGATTAAATTTCTTTTCTTTCGGGATAAAAGAGATGATTAGGCACGAACGGCAATAGTCCCATTGTCATTTCCTCGCTTCATCTCCAACTCTCTCCATCTATCTATACCATCGTTGGCCAACTCAGGGCTTTCTGTACCACCAAAATGGCCACGTCTCAAAGGGCCGTAGCGTGATTAAAAAAACGAGTGTGTAACAAACGATACGTGGCGATAGGGCCACTTTGGTCCATTGATGCATCGGTACAAATTTTAGATGATTTGATTTTTACAATATAATTTTAAGGATGCTTTGGAACTTTAAGATGGCTTGATTCGTGGAATAAAATCCTTTTGAAAGGAGTATCCAGAACAACAATTCTGATGGTGTGCATGCCTTGCCATTACTTGAATGTGATTACAAATTGATAGGTACCAGCCTAGCTGATCAAAAGCAAGTATTAGACAGAGGCATGCTTAGCAAAGATACAGAATTAAAATAAATACAAAAGTTGGCAAATGACGACTGCCATGTATTCACAGTGGGTTATCAAGGACTAGGCAGACAACAGTTGGTTAGTGGACTCACGCGGTAACAGGAAGGGCCGTGAATACGGAGGCGTGACCACACGAGACAGGAAAACCCAACGACGCAGTTTCCTCAACTGGTCTACGATTAACATCCAAAGGTCCCGCTACAGCACAACTCGCAGCAATCATCATCACTGTACATACGCTTTCCAGGTAACGCGTTTATGTTGCAAAAATTGCTTGCTGCCGTTACTAGATCGGGCGCTGTATAGTAGCAATCCGTCGAATTTAAGCAGGTCATCCCTGAGGAGGTGGAAGCGATGAAGGCGGCCGTAGCAAGGATGACGAATGCGCCGGTCTTGGTATTCATGATTGTGGTCGATAGCTGAGCAGGGTGATCTGGGGTAGTTCGCCTGGCTTGGCGAATGTCAGAATGAGAGTCAAGGCGAAAAAAAAACGGAGGTCTAGGCCGTTGAGCGCCTAAGAAAGGTCTAACGTCAAAAGAGGATTCATCTATCCGAACACAGAATGGACCATCCATGTATTCAGCCTCAGCCTGTTGTAAAATTTTACATTCGAGAGGGTTGCGACCTGCTGACTATGCCATCTGTAGGGCGCTCTCGTCCGGCACTACTCGAGATTCAAGATCGCCAGAGATCCAGGTATGTGATGAGTCATCCAAGTATCCAAAAAGCAAGACGAAGGATACAATCGCACGACCATACTTCCAGCATTGTGTAAAACGAGCTTCTAAGTTGTGGACGAGAGGTACAATTATAAGTCTGCGTGCGTGGGTACGGACGACCATCTGTCATCTAAATTCTTGCGGCTTCATACCACTTTAAAACTTTTAGTTACAACTGCAATGCCAATTTGTACAGATGCTTCGAGTTGCTGCATCAAGTTTGCTTCGCCCTTGCCTAGTCTCGATCCACAAAAGCTTGATCGACACAAATCGTTTTCCATTCATATGACGCTCGGACGGGTCACAGTGAAGCTTCTCTCATTCTACAAATTTGCAGTTCTCACCGCATCCCACCGCATCCTGACGACCTCATACAAAGATGCCACGTATGATCTGGCACATCTGGAACGAGCTGTTGGCACTAACTACCTTGAAGGGGTAGCTTAGAGGGATGTACATTCCCAAATATACACGGCTCAGCTCAAGCCAGTCTTTTTCCCCTTCGGGGGGGCCACTTTGGAGGGAATCCTCTCCATAAGGGAGCCAAAGAGGTCTGGAGTGTGCCTCGAGCGCGCTGCACTCGCAGTCTCGGATGTGGGGGCAGCGAACCGACGGGTCGCGCAAGCGGCCAAGAAGCGGAATGTTACGGAACGGAGGCGTACCTTGCGCTACGTGTTACCGCTGCGGCAGTCCACAGTCCAAGTCCTGGGGGTCGCGCAAGCGGCCAAGACGGGGCCCGTAGTGCAGATGGAAGTTCTCTAGGGAAGGTATTACGGTAGGTAGGCGTTCCCCACGCCTCGTGGTTACTTTGGTGACTACACTCTACGTTGATGGTCCGCGCAAGCGGCAGATAGAGGCCCGTCATCGCAGATGGAGAGTCTCAAGGGGAGGTATTACGACGGGTAGGCGTCCCCACGATTAGTGGTCACTTCGGTGACCGCACTTCACGTCGAGAGGCCGCGCAGGTGGCTGATTGGAGTCCACCCCCACATTCGGTCCCGTCGCATTGGCGATAGCACATGACAGTCTACCGGCTTTGTCGAAATAAAAGGCATGTTTTAGGATGCGCCAGGGACTTACACACAGTTGATATACCCATGGAAATAGACAATCGAAACTACCACTTTGAGGGATGTTTCAAGAGTCGTCGTTGACGTCAATGACGAACAGAAATGCAATATAAGGTCCACGCACGCACAGTTCCTCAGCATCACTACCAAGTCTAATGGTCGGTAAACCGCGAGTTCACAACTCTTTAGAACCTCTTGAAAAGTCTAGCTGGTATCCATGGAAACCCAAGCACCAACTAGCAACAAGGGCCTCGTCTGAAGTAACAAGCAGAAGTTTGTGATTTCTCTGCGCATAAAAGTGAGGAATTACTTCATCAGCGTATGATCGTCTTCGAGAGGGTGCCCTTCACGGTAGCCGTTGTGGACGTCGAATGCAGCATCAACGAAGCGATGACGCAACGAGCTGCAAACAGCCACCACCTGGCATGTACTGTTCGCTCATAGTAGTCGATGAGAGGAAGTCTGCAGCGCTGTGGTAAAAGGATTCTGTCATTGTTTTTGGTGTTATCGTTTCTTGCTACGATGATGGACTAGTTGTTCTTGTTCTCCATCACTTCTATCCAATCAATCAACCATCCACTATGCTGTCCACTCAATCACTAATCTTCCTACATCTCTTCAAGTCGTCAGCCGTTACTTCAACCGTTGCTACAACCTTTACCTCAACCGTTACGGGTAAAAATGCCGTTTCCTAACACTCCTCCTCGGCTACGACTTACCGTTCAAACCGAGGTGCACCAAAGTGCGCATCGTCGCCAGCTTGTGTGGGTCAAGTGCCTTCGTGAGCAGATCAGCGAGCATTAGCTCCGATCTCACATACTGCGCACGCACGATCCCGCGCCGAGCAAAGTCGCAGACAAACTTGACTCGCACGTCAATGTGCTTTGCCTTGAGTGACGACGCCTCACCCTCGAGCTGTCGAATTGCCGCTTGATTGTCGACGTGCATCAACATCGGTAGCTCTGGTGCCATTCCAATCTCGATAAGCACCTCGCGCACGCCCAGCAGCTCACGAGCGATCTCTGACGCCGCCACAAACTAGGCTTCCATTGTCGAGAGGGACACTCCACCTTGTTTCTTGGCGCTCCAGCTGATCGCCATGCCGTTGAGGAGGACGATGCCTCCGGTCAACGACTTCCTGTCGCTCTTATCTGTGGCAAAGTCGGCGTCGCTAAATGACTCGAGCTTGGTTGACGCGCACCTGACATCTCTTGGCTTCATGTTAATCTTCATCGTCTTCGTCCCCTTAAGGTAGCGAGCCACACGCTTCGCGAGCTTCCAATCGTGAAGCCGCGGTTGGTGCGTCTGTCGCGTCGTCTTGTGAACGGCGAACGCAATGTCGGGCCTCGTACAACGCGCGACCCAAAGCAGAGATCCGACAAGCGACTGGAAGTCTCTAATTGTAGGTGCTCCATTTGTGCTCGTGGCCTCAAGTTGCACGCTGTCGATCGGCTGCACTTCATAGCAGTCGGCACCGATCGGTGCAAGTGTCGAGTTTGCGTTTGTGAGGCCATGTTCTTGCAGCAAGTCGCTGATCGCCTCCTCCTGATCCGGTACGTAGCCGCCTTCGCCATCGAGCGCCACTCTCATACCGAAAAACTTACTCACACGGCCAAGGTCCTTGATTGACAGGCTCGCGAGACTGGCAAAAAACCGATCTACCGCAGCTGCTCCGGTGCCAGTTGTAAGCAGGTCGTCGACGTAGACGCCAACCACGACGGTATCCTTGCCGTCACGCTGCCAGTAGAAACACATGTCTGCCACACACTGTGTAAATCCTGCGCTGCATAGCTTCGCATGCAGGAGCTGGATCCAGAGTCGTCCGGCTTGCTTGAGGCCGTATAAACTCTTTCGAAGCTCGAGTGCCAGCTCCTTCGTACTTGCCGCACCTAGCTTCTTCAGTGTCGCGTCGTCGACTTCTATGCCTTGCGGTACCTGTAGCAGTATCTCGAGGTTAGGCTCCTTGTCCGCCTTCACATACGCATTCGGTATTCACCGTGTTTAGCGGGTACGCCCCACGTCGCCGCCAGAGCCAAAAGCACCTTCACCGTAGACATGTCCATGACTGCCGCGAAGGTGAGCTGGTAGTCGATACCAAAGACCTGCTCGTTTCCACACGCGACCAGTCGCGCCTTGAGTCGTTCTATGTCGCTGTTCGCGTCCGTCTTTGTCTTGAAGACCCACTTGGTGTGTAGTGTGTTGCTTCCGGATGGCCGCTTGATCAAGCGCCACACGCCGTTGTCTTCGAGCGCTTCGAGCTCTTCACGCATAGCTTTCTCCCAGCCTTCGCGTTTGCTGCTGCGTATCGCTTCACCATAATTGTTGGGGTCTCGCTCAAATACGTGAGCCACCACACTTTCGTCTCGTGATGGCTCCTCCTGAACCCCAGATACCTGCGAACGCTTCGCCGCGCTGCGCGTCCTGTGTGCTGCACGCGTCCATGACTTCGAATTTTTCTTTCCTCTGCGTATCTTCAATGTCGGAGCTGGGTCTGCCGACATCAGGGTCGCCGTCGCTGTTTCTGTTGATGTCGCACCTGCTTGATCCTCGTAGTCGAGCGCCCTCTGTAACTAATTGTTCTGTGCCTCGCTGAGCGTCTCAATATCCTTCACGTGCTGCGTGACTGTAACCTTGTTTTCCTTCTGAAGGAACACTCTGTAGCCCTTGGTTTCATCGCTGCGTCCGATGATGATGCCGACTTGCGATCGCCTTGCCAGAGAGTTCTTGCGTGGATCGCGGTAGACAGAGCAAACAGAGCCAAATGCTACTATGTCTCGCAAGTCAGGCGCGTGCTTTGTCAGCACTTCCAATGGTGACGCTCGCTTCGCGTTCGCACTTGTCGGGCTGCGGTTGATAATGTACGCCGCATATTCGACCTCGTCACCCCAGAATGACACGGGAAGTCGACTCGCTAAGCTCATCGACCGCGCCATGTTTAACACCGTTCGGTGCATGCGCTCGGCTTTGCCGTTCGATGCCTGGTTGCGTGCCTTGCTGACCTGTCTTGCGACACCAGTCGACTTACAGAAGAGGTCGACATTCGCGTACTCGGCACCTCCGTCCGTCCTTAGCACGTGGATGCGGCACTCAAACTGGCGCTCGAAGAATGCCAAGAAGTGTTCGAACTTCTTTGCGGCCTTGTCCTTCGTTGGAGCGAGGAAGACGCGACAGTAATTGGACTTATGGTCCACAAAATTGACGAGGTACCGGTTTCCGAGCCGGTCCTTGGGGGTCATCGGACCCTTGAGGTCGGAACAGATGACGCCACCAATGCGGTCAATAGGTGAGTTAGCACCCGTGTCCTTACGCGACTGTGCGTTCTTCGTCTGCTTGCCTTGGGCGCACGAAATGCACGTCGGCCTCGCACGATCTGTGAGTGTTATGCCGGACTCTGGATCGCTTGCCATGCGCTCGACCGTGTCGTACGCCAAGTGACCCAGACGCTGGTGAAAATGGTAGAGTGAGACAATCTGGACATCCATGGCTGATACATCCGTCGAATCTTGAGTTAGGATCGCCATCAGCACATCGCGTGGTGTCCCTGCGCGTGTCGGTGCCACTGTGTCAACGTATAGTACGTTGTCTTCCATTTTTATGTCGAACACGACTTCTCCATTGCTGCGTCTCGCAAGTGTGCGCTTCGTACCGTCGTAGACAAGTCCAAAACCCTTGCGCTCAAGCTTGCCGTACGACATGATATTTCTTGATAGATCCGGTGCGAGGTAGACCTCCGTCAGAGTCACATCTCGCTCATGTCCTTCTGCTTTCACAGTCAGTACAACGCTACCGACGCGCGACAGCTTGATAACCTCGCCATCGGCTAGGTGGCACTCGTGTTCGCAGTCTCGCACACCTTGTAGTAGAGACGCGTTGTTGACGAGGTGGCGACTGGATCCACTGTCCAGAATCCAGTCGTCGCTTTCTTCGTCACTGTCATTGCTAATTGCCAGTGTCAAATTACACTTGGCATGACGCTTGCCCTTCTTGATGATGCCTTCGCCAATCGCAAGTACAATGTTGCCACCGCTCTTACCGCGACGGCTGCTGTTCTTGTCGCTAGTCCTCCTGCTACGACAGTCGGCTTTAACATGTCCCATCTTGCCACATCCATAGCAGGTACGTGTTTCCTTTCGCGGTGTGGACTCATCCACGTGGGCGACAACCTCCTTTCCAAAGAAGCGTCCCGGTCGAGCTTCCATCTCGATTGCCTGCGCGAAATGTGCGAGCTCTTCGGCGTGCACTAGGTAGTCGACACGATGCGTCTCGTACTTGGCCATCAGAATCGTCGACAGCTCAGGCGATGCATACCGCACGATATTTAAGCACCTGCTGCTCAGCGCCACCAGCCGCATCGCTGACTGCGACTAGGTACAGGTAGTGCTCCGGCCACGAGCGCTTGCCTTCCTTCCTTGTCGTAAACAGCTTCATTGCTTGGGCTGCGGTGATTGTCGTCTTGAATGTATCAAGCATGCGCTGCATCACGTACTGGAGAGTCGGTAGCACGGCCCACCACGTGTCGACCTGCTTGCTGAAGTAGCGCTCTGCTGTGCCAGTCAGGTAATGGCCAAGAACATCAGTCTTGACGTTCTCGGTCCACAGGAATCCGCACGACTCCTGAGCCATGTCTACTTGCCTCCAGAAAGTCTTGCCCCAGTCGAAGAAACCGGACCCGAGTCCGACGTACACTTCGGTCCCGTCAAACTTCCGTATCGCGAGCTTGCGCTGCCTCGCGTCGGGCGTCCGAAACTGAGTTGGCAAATGGGATTGCATCGGCGCAGCTGGTGACTCCTGTCGATGTGGCCTAGGCGAAGGCTGATACGCTGGTATCTGGACAGGTGGCTGCTGTGCGCGCTGCGCACGCTGACGATCGACACACAAGCGCGCTTGGTGGCTTGTCAAGTCCGTGCAGTCAAGCGCGTCACGGTGAAGCTTGCCCGCGAAGTCCGCGCCAAGCATTGAGGTAAACATTCCGCTGTCCACCGCTCCGCGTATGCGCTCGTCTTGGTCAATCCTTGCCTGGGACAGCTCCATCTTCTTAACGCGCTCGTCCATGCCGCTCAGCAACTTGAGAACCTTCTCCAGCGCATCGTTGTCCGCGCTCCTTGCGTGAGCGTGCGATGGTACGACCACGGCAGGCTCCGACGCAGCCCTTGCGTGACTGTTAGTCGGTGGCGCCTGTGCCGTGTAGTTGTCGTCAGACGACCCGTTTGGGCTCATAACCTGTTCGCTCATAGTAGTCGATGAGAGGAAGTCTGCAGCGCTGTGGTAAAAGGATTCTGTCATTGTTTTTGGTGTTATCGTTTCTTGCTACGATGATGGACTAGTTGTTCTTGTTCTCCATCACTTCTATCCAATCAATCAACCATCCACTATGCTGTCCACTCAATCACTAATCTTCCTACATCTCTTCAAGTCGTCAGCCGTTACTTCAACCGTTGCTACAACCTTTACCTCAACCGTTACGGGTAACAATGCCATTTTCTAACATGTACCATACGGAAGGGGTCGTTGGTCGCCTTTTATGGCATTCGTGAGCATAGCCTGTCAGGGGGGGGGGTCGGAACCGACGACAGTGTCGCGCGATGAGAATTGTTAGGGATGTGTCAGCATCTGCACCAATCAGGAAGAGAGCCGACAAAGGAAGGGCTGTTTCTTCTTACCAGGCTGTCCATCTGCTAGATGACTAAGTTAACAACGACCAGGACGGTTGAAGTCGTCTAGCAAATGCTGATTGAAACCGATGTGCTAGAATTAGAGAGAAAGAGAGAGTGTGAGAGAGAGATTCAGACGGTTATTCGTAGTACTTTTGATTAGTCTTTGATGTCTGGTGGTTTTGCTCATCATCGTGTTGACTACATCGTTCGTCTCCTCTCTGTCTCACTCTGCGGGCTCGATACATCGGGCGTCACGAGGGGTACACTCTGAGAAGGGCACGTGTTACCGGGAACCAAGCTGGGGGTGCATGTACGGTTCAGAGGACGCCTGCAAGGGAGGTCTCACACCACTTCGAACAGTCCCGAGGGTACATCTTGACTTGTCCCTAGCATGTACCACCGGAGCCGGGTCCACCGGACAGCATCTCGTTCTTAGCAAGTTCGCTTCGTAGGGCCGGAGTTCGCGCTCGGCGAACGGGTCAGTGGCTTGATGGCGGATGTAGAAGAGCAGGAACTTGTACATGGTGCAAGGCGATCGTTCCGACGTGCCTTACATCTCGGGGCGCCCTGCTTGTTGCCTTCCTTCCAGTTTGCACGCTGCGCTGCCTCCCGTTGCGCACGTATCGTCAAGAGCCCCCCCCCTTTAAACTAAGCCCCACTAGAGGAAGCTCTCCGCCCAGGGTAAGGGGGCCGATTGTCCGCCTCTTTGGAGGTCCTTGTTGCTTGGCCGGTGTTGCCCGAAGGCGCAGATTGGGAAGTGTACTAGAATCAGAACAATGTGAGAGAGAGATAAACGACAATCTACCACACGGTGTTCACGTGAACAAGGCTTCTGAAATGTCTTAAGCCCGATTAGCAACGCCGGTGTCGAATTGTGCGGTGGTTGTATGTGGCTCCTCACATGATGTGATTCTCTGGAAGGCGCAGTGGTGTCATTTAGCAACTCAATACACTGCCATAGCCGAATGCCTCGCGCCTTTGAATGTAGCGTTCTGCGCCTTCTTGCCAATACCGCTCGTAATTGCCGATTTTGTTAAAAAAAACTTTTGGACACTTTCCGGGAGTAAAAATTGTTGCCGCTCGTGAATAACTCGATTGCGCTGGATCCAAAGAGTCGAGATATATACGGAACACAGGATCCACCATATGCGCTTCCACTGATCAATGTACTCCGCCACAATATCACCAAAGGCCTGCTGCAGCCGTTATAATAGTGTCGTAGACAGAGGCGACAGTGTTCTTGCCATGCACTTCCCCGCATAATGGCTCAGGTCATCCAGCCGCACGTTAAATTTAAACCACGAGGTCAGTACCGCTTGCCAGCATCCCTGGGCCACCAGACATGTCCAGAAAATGGGCTCCAGTGTCTCCTTGTGACCGTCACAGACGGACAGCCTTCTGCAACTGTTGTCAACTTCTCTTCTGTTTAGGGAGAAGAAAATAAGCTGTTGGAGTATCAAACGATAAGAGACCCACACTTGATACTCCGTGATTGCATTTTGATGGCCCCACAGCTGCTTCGGGGTTTGATGAAGAGCCGCGGTCTCCCAGTCTCCCTGGTCTGTGCAGGTTTGTAACTTCTAGAGTAGACCTTCTAAAGCCGTGCCGAGCCCCACCTTCGCCTTGCTACACGGCTGGCGTTTAATGTACATCAGTACGTGCCGATTCGATACGTTTGGTGGGGCATCCCACCGAAAGCTGTAAATCGATGTATGTGCCTCAACGACAAAATCAAGAGCCCATTGCGAGCTCCTGATGACGGCCACGTCGTCTCCAGACTCCGGACGTATTAGATGTGAGTCATCGACTATCCAATTAATCCCGTTGGCCTCTTGCTTCAGCATGAT